CAAACGACTCAAACCCCTGAGCCATTCCATTTTCTCACCCGGAGGTCTCCCCTTTATTTCGTTTTAAGCTGTCTGATGAAAAACTCTCTGAAGCGATCGAGGAGTACCCGCCCTCCCCATAACCCCCCGGAGTTGTCCCAAATGCCGAAGGAGTGAAGAAACGACGAACCGATTGACAATTTGGGCTGATAAGCAATTAAACGGAGAGACATCCATGTTCGTTTATAGGATTGCGTGACAAAAAAAAATTACGACGCGCAATGCGCCACTGATTTATTTCCAAATGTCCTCAATTTCAGTCACATCCTGTAGACGTTTCCGAGTCTCAATCCAGGAAAAACTGCATCCGTAAACATCCAAACGCATTATACAGTAACACATCTGGCAATTTTAAGGCTTTCCGTGTGTCAGTACGATTTCCAAGTTGTAATGGTGGCTGTGTATACAACGCACATTGCCATCTGCATACGTCGGATATGAAAATGACAATGTTCTTGTAAAAGCAAACTTTCTTGTGTCATCGGGTTGCAAGGATTCTCGTTGCCCAATTGGCGCCTGAAGTGAGGTCTAATCATAATGTAGTCACTTACCGGAGTTTAAAAGTAATTGAAAACTTCAAACCTACAGCCCTAAGAGTGCTCGCTCTCGAGAGATTCTGTAACTGGGGCTCAGTTGGGGAAATTAGCTTAGTGGCTGGGTGGGAGAGCAGGACCTTCTGGCAACTTTTCAGGATATCAATTGGACCAAAACATCTTTAAAGGTCGGCACACACGACGGGGCTAGTCCCTACGACTAGTCCCCTGAAAAGTTTACGCGAAGGGACTGGTTGCTTGGACTTGTCCTTCGAACAGTTCACACGAAGCGTTTTGAGGAACAAGTCGCACGGACCAAATTTTAGTCCCTGCGACTAGATTTTGTGGTAAAAATGGCTAGTTCACACGATGGGACTTGTCCCCGCGACTAGTGGCGGGGACAAGTCCCCTCGTGTGTGCCGACCTTAAAGAACATGGTGTTTAATGGTGATCTTGACCTACTCGCTGACATCGTCACTAAAAAGACACCGGTCACAAAAGAGTTACAGCAAGTAGTATTTCCACAATTCACCTTGATTCACCCTTAACAAAAAGAGGACATTGCTTTTCTTACACTTAAAACATGGAGCTAATTGGAACGCTTTGTTCAAGGAGCTGCTGCATGACCGTGACCTTTACAACAAGCTTTATGATTAATTAACTGAAGTTATGTTCCATAATAACTGTTCAAACAATGATGATCCGACAAGCAGAATTAATTTTAGAATTATTTGAAACGGGAGGTATCACAATCTAATGTTCCCATGCAAGCGATTGCTTCCGTGAGAGAGAGTTGACTTATTACAAGCCGCTTGTCTGCACGCTAGGATATAATTGACCCTTCCTCTTATCAAAAAGTTTTGGGTAAAGTGTCTGAAGTCAGTTCAAACATATCGCGTGATCTTACATAAACTTATTATAAGTGGCTGGTGCTACACAACAACAGACAGGAAAAAAGGAAGAAGACTAGTATATAGATAGATAGGTATGAAAGAAACACTCCCTATTTCACGAATTAAGTGAACTATCTCTAATTTCAATTGACTTGTTTTTGACTTCAGTAGCGCATATCACTAGGCTGTGATTGGCTGACACTGCTGAACGGTGACCTAGATCAGTTTAATTATTCTGATTGACGCTGAACTTGCTGAAGTTGTTGAGTTGTGAAGTCGTTGTTGAGCTACGTGCACTAGGTAGTGGCTGACTTGATGAGTCATGGCATCTGGTGAAACCTTTGATTTAACCACCAATAAACCTGTAAAGCGGCGAACAAATCGCTTTTGGTGCCTAGTGGCCCTGGGAATATTGGTTGCTCTCGTAATCTTCTTCGTTGGTTTCCTGATCGGTTATTTTGCAAAGAAGGCGCCAACGAGCAAGACGGTGAATTCATCCGGGAAGAGAGAGAACGGAGAATATGACTACAAAAAATACCACGAACAGGCGGTTAATTCTCTCACAGCAGAAAGCGTGGAGACGTTTTCTCGGTAAGTTGTAGGTAGAGCTTTGCGGATACAAACATGCAAAAACTTTATTTAGTCTGGAATTTGCAGATCAGTGACAGTTTCAGACTGATGCTTATCTCTTCCAGCTACCTTTTAATAACTGAATTAACTATATAGCTAATTATACATAACTGAAGAATTCGATTAAGGCCTTGAGCTACTGTTATTTTCTTTTTCATTCAAATCTTTAGCCGATCTACGGCATCGTCAGGGTATGTAAATATTCCACTATGCGTGATATAAAAGCGATGTCACGAATAACTGGAATATACACGAATAATAAGAAATACTGTAGCTCAAGGCCTCAATCGAATCGTCCAATTTATAACAATGCTATTGAAGGATAGCTTCAAACATATATAACTGAGCAAACCCATATGACCGTTGATTTGATCGCAGCTAGATTCGAACACCCAAAACTGCTCTGCAGCCCCACAAAATTACATAACAACTCATACATTAAACAGACCTTAAACAAAACAAAAAGAGCGATGTGTGTTTATGTCGAGAAAGTGTCTGTCTGTATCATATCTTAGTGCCTATCACAGAGGGTCAAGAGATTTGGTATGGCATGCGGACGGCGAGAAAAGGAAAGAAAAGAAAGTCTTATTAATCTACAGCAAATGCATCAGATTTCCAAAATTTATTACTAAAATACTGAACCTTACACTCTACTTAGAATCTTTATCCCAGCTAAAACCAAAAGACCCTGAACATGATGCCATGACGTCATCAAAGCTATAAGACCTGCAAAAACATATATTTTATCACAAGTTTTCAGCTCGATAGCGTCCTGAGACCAGGAGAAGTTAACTGCTTATTTATCTTCGATAACAATTCAAATTCGTGTGTTCTTTTGTTCAATGTTCGATTTTACTTTTTCGTGGCGTGACAATGAAAACCAGCAGGATGTGTCGACATTTACATTTCACACACTTTTCTGCCTCCCACCGAAAATACTGTACTAAAACGAGTCTCTTGTAGTTATTTAAGGCTGACAAATTGTAGGGCCTGTCTCCTTCTTGGTTTTTCTGTACAAGGATGCAGCAGAGGAATAATGCAATGACGATCCCCCGCCCATTCTCCCTGTAGACCCCTTCGTAATCTTCCCGTAAGTATTGCCAAGCTGAAGTTGTCTGCCAATTCACTGCCAATTCCACCTCAACCAATTCGAATTAAAATTCAGTAGTCGAAATTACTGTATAAAATCAGTTACATATCCTTACCAATTGTTCAAAAACATTTTTTAGCTGCACTCACGTAAATTTATAAAAAGATGTTGTAAATATCTTTGTTCAGAAGTGAATAACTCGTCACATGAGTTTTCAATTGACACCAACTTGGTATCATTTTAAAGCTTACCGTCTTATTAGTCCATCTCAACGGCTTCTACACCCATCTCAACGCAATTAATAACGAAAACTTTCACCCGAACATCGTGCTTTAATAGCATACACACTTGTACTGGCTATTCCGGAAGTGAATAACTCGACACGTGACTTTTCAATTGACACCAACTTGGAATCATTTTAAAGCTTACTGCCTTATTAGTCCATCTCACGGCTTCTACATCCATCTCAACGCAATCATTTTTTAAAATAAAGAAAAGGACACGATCGCATGGCGTGTTGCGTTTAAAGACAAAATGCGAACCCGGTATTCTTGGTTGGTGATTGTAATCAGTATCAGTGGAAATATTGTGAGATGAAAAGTGCGAGAATTGGGAAAAAACATTATCATCAACGACCATCAACCGTCGGCTTTTAGCGGACAGGAGCGAACGATTGATGTGACTGCCACCCTAAAATCAGTTGTTTACGTTGTCATTTGACCGACGATTGTAATCATACAGACATTCCCCATTCCCAACATCGCGATCGATGAAAATTACACGTTAGTTCTCTACTTGTGATAGCATTACTTGAGTTTATCTTCTTGTGCTTGCTAGTTTATCCTGTGTTCACAGGGCAAAGTGCGGTTCTCAATCAGTTTTTTTGATAATAGCCGTTTTTCAATAATCGTTTTTTAATAGAGTGTGTGCAGGTGACGTCATCAAATCTAAAGAGCTCCTATATGTTTTATCCCCATCAGGTATAAGAGGTACTAAATTTATATCTGTTTACAACTTTCCAGCTCAATAGCGCCTTTGTTTGGAAACCAGCGCATTTTGAATTTCGGAGTTATGGCGGTGCGTGACATGAAGCTAAGATCGTGTTTGTCGAAAAATAGACGCATATATCTCGTGATTGTTAGCCATTTTAGGAAAAGTGCTTGTGTAAATGTTTTTTGGTTCGGTTCAGATAAGCAGTTGTCTAGATAGCGAAAGTAAGTTCCAGTTGTTTACACTATTTTCCGGGCGCCATATTGGAGGACTAGGCTCTATAATTTTGCACGGAACATTTCGACGAATATCTCAACTTTGGAACAACCTTAAACTTTGAGAACTGTCCTCTTTAGTTATCGTCTATAATATCACAATTTCTTGACTTAATCCACTGATTGGTTTTTGCACTGCATAAAATCGTCTGTACAAGGAGCCTTCCTCAGGTCGCACACAGTCAGTACTTGGGTTCACATTAGACCACTAAGTCTGACTTAGTAAGCTCTTAAGTCGACTTAGTGAAAATGACAGGTGTGAACCGCTAAGTCACAGAAGCGTGATTTCTGTCTTAGTGTCGGCAAACTCAAACGATCTAAGCCGTTCTTAAGTCTGTTTCAAACATGACTTAAGGCTGACTTAAGAAACCTGATAGCAAAAAAATTTCAAAATCATGGGTTTTATCAGATAGAGATTCCCGCGTTAGGCACGAAAACCAAAGAAATCACGACACGGCTTCTTCTCACGAACAAAATTAACTGAAGATGCATTGCCGAGAGGACGAAACGTTAGAAGGCAATTACGCTACGCACTTTTCACCTNCGTCGAAATAAGTTAAAGCAATATAATTTAGTAAACTTCATCAAAATTTAAATCTGCATCATCTACACTCTGATCACTTTCATGATCTTCGTCATCACAGGCTTGGTTGTCATTTCTGTCAAAGGAAAAAAACATCCTGAAACGAACAACGAAATGCACGTCTGAAAATTTTAGTTTTCGCGTAAAGAGAAATAAGCTCCGTGAATTAATTTGGCCGATTAAACTAAAACCGCGAGCTGTTAAGTGTCAGAGTCCTGGCTTCCCTTGATACGCCGCACATGACGTACCCAGGCCATGATTTTTCCTGACACGCCGCAACGGACGTATCAGGATCGGAACATGGCACTCTCCGACACGTCACGTTTCTTGACACGTCACGTTCTGATCTCGGACACGCCAAGTGTCGAGGCATTCACGGCCACACAAATCCCACGTAATTACTCATTTCACGCAGCTTATTGATATCTCTGCGTAATGCGTAAAGGAGCGTACAGATACGTTATGGATACCTTTACGCAATGCATAAAGAAGCGTTAAGCTGCGTTGTTGATATATTTACAGGATGCTTAAGATACGTTAATGATACCTGTACGAAATCTGCAAAGTAGCGAAAAGACGCGCTAATAATACTATAGCTGTTTATCTGACTTGAGGCTTCCTTTACAGGTAAGTTCTTCCGTAAGAAGCACTCATTACCACAGGGTATATTTTTCAAGTCAGCTCTGTTTTCAGCAACCGGAGCCTTCATTTCCTTCATTTCTGATGCAAAAGAACAATCAAGTTGAATTTACTTTGCCAACTCGTGTAATGTTCCCTTACACTAGGTATAAGGAAATCTCCACAAGACAGTATACATTAGTATAAGGATACATACGTATACTGATCATTATACAGACCTTATACATATAATTCAGTATACATCATTATAACTCTCCGTACACATTATGTATACGGGCTCATTATACCTCCTTATACATGCCATTTCATGCAGTGTTGATTTTATTTTCTATTGCGTGACAATGCACACACTCTGTAGCTTTGGTTGTCTAATTAAATTTAACGTCACTGTTTATTCTTATTTCTGTCGGGAACGTTTAAACATACTTGTGTAAATTGTCCACTCAAGTATCCTCTTTGAGCATTTTATTAAAATACAAATACTTTCAACAATCAAAATAAAGAAATCTGCTGAACTTTTTGTCTTCCCTTTGTTGGATTCATTTCCGGCGGTATCTGGTTCTACAACACGGACAAAAAAAAATTAATAAGATCTTTAAACTATTGCGGTTATCCTTAAACCATTACCACATTTTCAGGTTTGTAAATTTCAATGGCAAAAATTCATTCATTCCGCCGCTGTCTACGCAATGTTACAGAGCAATCGAATAAAGTAAGCACACGAATGACAAGAATGTAAAGAATAAAGCCTGTCCACTTGATTGCCGGATTTGGATAACACTTAAGGTCACAACAATTCCACGAAAGGTACGTATGACGCTTGTTCTAATTCTATAACGAGAAATAAAATAGCGAACTTCAGGAATAGCGAACTTCACCAACTGATATCCTTTAAAACGCAACTCTCGCCAACAGGCAAATGTAAAAACACTAAGGTGAGATCCTGGAGGGAAGGATATCTTGAGTAAATTCCTTTAACTTCGAGCAGGACAAAAGAACATAGTACGATCTAGCATATAAAGTTGACATGTACCTATTTGTTTACTTGTACATTATAAATCAACATGTCACGATATAACGTAACGAGCTCAAATCTTATGTTACAGCTTTACGAATCTCGCACGATTTGGAGACAGTACCGTTTTGCCCACAGGGTGATGTAGGTAAGCTGCACTGAGTAGAGATCAGTGATGACTCGAGGCCGATACAATACCTCAATGATTAGTAGATTTAAATTATGAATTTCTTACCATGCATAACTGACTTATACTGAATTCGCTGCAGTGACAGCAGAACCCAAAGAAAGCTACCAGCAGGGTATAAAGACGCAGCCCAGACGTCGCTCAAAATTAAAGGTTGGTAATGAAAATTCTTAGCGAAGGGAAAAGCGAAGGGCATAGGAAAAATAACACTGGTGATAGCAGAAAGGCTAAAATGTGCATATGTGCGTCTGTGTGTTGATCCTTGAACGTAAGCACTACATGGCTGAATTGTTTGGGTTATCTTCATTTTCTCGCATTTTAGAAACCAAACCATCAATATCTCCTGACTGTGAACGTGTCAAGTCATTAAATATAGTGAGCAGTAGTTTATTTAAAGTGGTACGCACAGAGGTATATTAACTCACATATGTTTTCTGTTATTCCTTTATGTAGTCAAAGTCACTGAAAACGTCACTGAAAACGTCACTTAAAAAACTAATTTGAAATTTGTTAACAGGTGAAGAAAAGGAAATTAGCTGAAAGTATCACTAATGAAATGAAAGAACACGAAGCGAACCAAGTATCCAAAATATTATGCACACCCACAGAAGGTACAGACGACACTGCGGTAATTAATCTAGTAGTTGAAGACACGGAAGAAAAAGAGTTGGTGGAGTATCGCTTTAAGGTGACCCCCAAGATGGTGGAAGAGAGGGTGAAGGCCATGAAAGATTATCTTGTGGAGATAGCAGGCGTCCCACCATCAGAAGATACGCCCCTTCCTCACTTGGAACGCCACCAAGCATGGTTGTTGCTTGGAGGATACCAGAAGCATTACAAGAATCTGCCGGGAAACCTACGATTTGGGCGCCAACACATGTTCTTATTACATCTTCCCAGATGTAATGCTTCATTTGGAAAACCTTTTCAAGGCAAAACCAAAACCTAGGAAAGGCTTTGTCCCAATCATGGCATGCATGGATACTTTTTTGAAGTACGACTTGCCGGATTGTATCCCGGACCAATGCTATTATGTGAGTACCGTTCTCGTTTTTGAGACAGTGACGAAAATCATTACGGACTTGGAAAGATGCTCGTACGAGATGGCGACAGGGATCGGTCTGGGGATAAATGTGCCAACCAAGACACCCTATGGCATTCGATGGGATACTTCCATTGAAGAAAAGAAGCAGAGAAGGGAGCTTGCCAGGTCACAAAGAAGAAACAATCGTAAACAGCTGACACCCAAGAGACTGTTGCGTTCGAAAGGAAAAACCCAAGATTGATTTCCCTATTTAACGATGTTTAGTTGCATCTAACGCGCGCTCCATGGTTGTAACCAGAACTTACTCTGACCTGATGTTCTCTTTCCATTGATTTTCATTTGATTCTTAATGACATTAAAAAACTTCAATAATACACCGCTGGCAAATAAAAGTTATGAGTATCTTATAGAAAGCCCGTTGAGATGGGTGTAGAAGCCGTTGAGATGGACTAATAAGACGGTAAGCTTTAAAATGATACCAAGTTGGTATCAGGTGAAAAGTCACGTGACGAGTTATTCACTTCCCGAATAACCAGCACAAGTGTGTATGTTATTAAAACACGATGTTCGGGTGAATGTTTTCGACATTAATTGCGTTGAGATGGGTGTAGAAGCCGTGGAGATGGACTAAAAAGACGGTAACATTTAAAATGATGCCAAGATGCTGTCAATTGAAAAGTCACGTAACGAGTTATTCACTTCCGGAATAGCCAGTACAAGTGTGTATGCTATTAAAGCACGTTGTTCGGGTGAAAGTTTTCGATGTTAATTGCGTTGAGGTAGGTGTAGAAGCCGTTGAGATGGACTAATAAGACGGTAAGCTTTACAATGGTACCAAGTTGGTGTCAGTTGAAAAGTCACGTGACGAGTTATTCACTTCCGGAATAGCCAGTACAAGTGTGTCTGTTATAAAAACACGATGTTCGGGTGAACGTTTTCGATATTAATTGCGTTGAGATAAGTGCAGAACCCGTTGAGATGAACTGATAAGACGGTAAACTTTAAAATGATACCAAGTTGGTGTCAATTGAAAAGTCACGTGACGAGCTATTCACCGTCTGAACAAAGGATATTTAAAACATCTTTTTATAAATTTACGTGAGTGTTTGGTGCAAATTGATAGCTTTGAATGCAGCTAAAAAATGTTTTTGAACAATTGGAAAGGATATTGAACTGATTTTATGCAGTAGTTTCGACTACTGAATTTTAATTCGAATTGGCAGACAGTTTCAGCCGGTCGAATTGGCAGAGGTGGAATTGGCAGTGAATTGGTAGACAACTTCAACTTGGTATATGTATTTGTGTCGTTACATAACGCTTCTTCGTGCCCCGTAAACGGTGCGTGATTAACCAACGTAACCCAAGTAACGATTGCGACGAAGACTAAATAATACCGGGAGGCTGGCATTAGGTATTAGTTGATGTGCGTGACTTTTCTCGCATGTCGTAGTCATGGAGTGTATCATTTTTGCAGCAATTTCACCAAGCGTCCTCACATTGGTGGCGGCGAAGAAAATAGGAAGCTCGGCGAATACATTCGTGACAAGTGGATCAGTTATAAGTTTGATCACGTGGAAATGGTTAGGTATGACGTCCTGTTATCCATGCCACCAAGGGATAAACCAAACGTCGTCAAGATCCTTAACACAACAGACGGAAGCGTTCTCTGGAACGTAGAGGGCCCGGAAAAGGTAAGGAATCTCTTCCTGGGGCTGGTTTGACAGACTTGTCTAGACTATCGTCAGTAATACCTGTCTTCAGGTGAATACTGAGAGCCTTCGTTTGTAATGCAACGTTGGCACTTATTTCATGGTTCTGAACATGTGTTGCACTTGCACCTTCTCTGGGTAACTGAAACTATCTTGTAGTTGAGAGAGCTTGCGCATAACCAAGTTTTAAATTTCCACCTTTTACATTCCCTGTGTAGCGTAAAGGAGCGGATAAGATAGATGAGAAGGAAAACCCTTTATCTTCTCTGTTAGTCAAAAACAATGGAACTTGCAATTCAGTAAACTTGAGTGTCAAGAATCACTGAAGAACACAAAGAGATATCTTCATTCAGTTTACCTTTTGTGTTATTCAAAAGCAAGGCCTCGCACGTCACTTTTGTAGTTTCTAAAGTCGCGCAAACAAGCGAATAAAATTGTTATACAAGGTTATAAAAACCATTTTTCAACGGATAACTTCTGACCGGTAACTGAATGAATGAGAAAACAAACGAAATTACGAAAGTACATGAAGGCAAAAAGAGCGAAGCAGTGAAGGACAGAAGTAGATTCAGACTCAGTTGGATTTCTTCTTGTTAAGATTGCAGAACCAAGTGAGAATGATTCTCTTGTTTTGCCGCCATTCCTCGGCTACTCCCCGCCAGGAGTGGTGCAAGCCGCTGACCTGTTGTACGCAAACTACGGTACCGTGGACGACTTTAAAGAATTGGAGAAGAGAAACTTGAACTGCACTGGGAATATTGTGATCATGCGATATGGAAAAATATTTCGAGGAAATAAGGTAATATTCGATGGCCAACCACTTTAACTTGTGGCTCATCTCTTTCTCTTCACATCCCCTCCATATCAGTAATCCGATTCCTTGCTTTCTCAAATTGCATCAAAATCAAAAGGTGGAAAACGTATGACGCATAAAAACCACATGCCTTGGGTGGAAGAAGGAGGGGGGGTATGATTCACAACATCAAAAGTAACCCTAGTACTTATGAGCTATAGTGAAAGAGCTTAGCAGTATCGGATTTTCTACGTAAGAAACCAACCCTATCATGTCTTTACTTCTGCCAAATCTCCTGTAGATACCTTTTGAAAATATAAATGAAACGATTTTAGTGTTACAGTATCAAGTATAAATACGAAGCAGCAATATGACAGCTAAGGTTCAATTACTTTTACGCATTTCTTGTAACAAGGTTCAAAATGCAGAAAAATGCGGAGCTGCTGGCGTACTGTTGTACTCTGATCCAGCGGACTACTCTCCAGAAGGCATGAACAACACGTTCCCAAAGACATGGTGGCTCCCTGGGACTGGCACCCAAAGAGGAACCATTAGTTTTGCACATGGCGATCCTTTGACCCCACTCCTCCCCTCCATAGATGGAGTTTACAGAATAACCAGAAATGACACTGACGCTTTGCCCAAAATTCCCGCGCAGGTCATGACTTATGATAACGCAGTTGAATTCTTGAAACGCCTTAAAGGTGAGGAGTAACATAATTTAGTAACTCGTTAATAAATAAATATTATCCTTAAAATTGTGAGGCAATTATTGGACAGTTGAGAAGCTTATCAGTGACAAGAAGTTAAACAATTGTTCATGTCTAAGGCAAAGGGAAATATCTTATGATAACAGAGGTCAACAATCATTTCTACATTCGACCAGCAAGATTTTCTCTTCAGATCTTCCTGATTAACACCATACTTAACAATGCACAAGAGCGGACCGTAATATGCNGCCGATCTACGGCATCGTCAGGGTATGCAAAGAAAATATTCCACTATGCGTGATACAAAAGCGATGTCACGAATAATTGGAATATACACGAATAATAAGAAATACTGTAGCTCAAGGCCTCAATCGAATCGTCCAATTTATTATGACAATGCTACTGAAGGACAGCTTCAAACATATATAACTGAGCAAACCCATATGACCGTTGATTTGATCTCAGCGTAGATTCGAACACCCAAAACTGTTCTGCAGCCCCACAAAATTTACATAACAACTCATACATTAAACAGACCTTAAACAAAACAAAAAGAGCGATTTGTGTTTATGTCGAGAAAGTGTCTGTCTGTATCATATCTTAGTGCCTGTCACAGAGGGTCAAGAGATTTGGCATGGCATGCGGACGGCGAGAAAAGGAAAGACAAGAAAGTCTTATTAATCTACAGCAAATGTATCAGATTTCCAAAATTTATTACTCAGAAAATACCGAACCTTACACTCTACTTAAAATCTTTATCCGAGCTAAAGACCCAGAACATGATGTCATGACGTCATCAAAACTATAAGACCTGCAAAATAATATATTTTATCACAAGTTTTCTGCTCGATAGCTTCCTGAGACCAGGAGAAGTTAATTACTTATTTATCTTTTATAACAATCCAAATTTGTGTGTTCTTTTGTTCAATGTTCGATTTTACTTTTTCGTGGCGTGACAATGAAAACCAGCAGGATGTGTCGACATTAATTATATTTCATATCCTTTTCTGCCTCCCAGTGTCCCTCCGAAAATACTGTACTAAAACGAGTCCCTTGTAGTCATTTAATGCTGGCAAATTGTAGACCGTCTCTTTCTTGGTTTGTCTGTGCTACCCCCGCCCATTCTCCCTGTAGACCTCTTCGCAATCTTCTCATATGTATTGGTGTCGTTACATAACGCTTCTCCCTGCCGGGTCAACGGTGCGTGATTACCCGAGTAACGATTGCGAAGAAATCTAAATAACACCGGGAGGCTGGCATTAGTTATTAATTGATGTTCGTGACTTTTCTCGCATGTCGTAATCATGGAGTGTATCATTTTTGCAGTCATTTCACGAAGCGTCCTCACATTGGTGGCGGGGAACAAAATAGGAAGCTCGGCGAATACATTCGTGACAAGTGGATCAGTTATAAGTTTGATCACGTGGAGATGGTTCAGTATGACGTCCTGTTATCCATGCCACCAAGGGATAAACCAAACGTCGTCAAGATCCTTAACACAACAGACGGAAGCGCTCTCTGGAAGGTAGAGGGCCCGGAAAAGGTAAAGAATCTCTTCTTATTTCCACTGCGCATAAAGTTAAGTTAAAGCCAGGCTAGGAGCCCATTCGGAGATGAAACATAATCAGTTGTCAAACAACCGACGCTGTCTTGGTTGTCAGTCATGAATAAGTGTCCTTGGTTTGCATCTAAATTAAACTTTCTACCGTCAACCGAAACTGACTTGCAGCTAAGATTGCTCGCACGTCACTTTTGTAGTTTCTAAAGTCGCGCAAACAAGCGAATAAAATTGTTATACAAGGTTATAAAAACCATTTTTCAACGGATAACTTCTGACCGGTAACTGAATGAATGAGAAAACAAACGAAATTACGAAAGTACATGAAGGCAAAAAGAGCGAAGCAGTGAAGGACAGAAGTAGATTCAGACTCAGTTGGATTTCTTCTTGTTAAGATTGCAGAACCAAGTGAGAACGATTCTCTTGTTTTGCCACCATTCCTCAGTTACTCTCCGCCAGGAATCGTGCCAGCCGCTGACCTGTTGTATGCAAACTACGGTACCGTGGACGACTTTAAGGAATTGGAGAAGAGAAGCTTGAACTGCACTGGAAAGATTGCGATCATGCGATATGGAAAAATATTTCGTGGAAATAAGGTAATATTTGATTGGCAATAACTGAACCTGTCTCAAACCTGTCTCATACCAGTATTTCAAAGGTTTTCAGTTTCGTAACACTGTGCAATGAAAATTAAAAGTATGTAAGAGTTTCAAAAAAGGTGGCCGCAAATTTAAGTACGAAGTGATAACGCAGAGCTCAACGGTGGGAGTGGGAATATGGCACACAATTGAGAAATGAAAAGCCTACGTAACATTCTATACACTCATTTACTTTGCTAACTTTAGTATTCAAAGAAGTTCACTATGATATCACATTGACAAGACCTGACTTAATTGTCCTGAAAGGTTAATTGTTCTTGGTTTAATGGCTACAAATAAAAGAAAGATCACGTTAAACGGGAGACATTACATGTATATGTTATTTGAAGTCCATAGTCTTTCTCGAGAAACATTATCGTTTAAATTTTGGCGAAAATCAGCAAGTGACACCGGGTAGACTGACTGTAATGTATATCCAAATGTCTTGAGCCATGACTTTGCAAGTGTGAAATGGAAAATACTTAGACTTCTCAACAAGATCGCAAGACGGCAATTTATGAAGAAAGTGGATGATGCACAGTAGTAAACCCCAGGTGTTAACTATATTAGGACGGAATTGTTTTTGGTCGGAGAAGTGGTTCGGTTCTAACAGACTTTCTGTCTTTCCTTTTGTCAAGGTTCAAAATGCAGAAAAACGTGGCGCTGCTGGCGCCCTCCTGTACTCTGATCCAGCGGACTACTCCCCAGAAGGCATGAACAACACGTTCCCAAAGACATGGTGGCTCCCAGGTACTGGTACTCAGAGAGGAAACATTTGGTTTTCAGATGGCGATCCTTTGACCCCACTCCTTCCCTCCATAGATGGAGTATACAGAATAACCAGAAATGACACTGACGTCTTGCCGAACATTCCCGCGCAGGTCATGACTTATGATGACGCAGTCGAATTTTTGAAACGTCTCAAAGGTGAGGCGACGTTCTAAATGTTATAAATATGTCGGTAAATGTTGTTACTGCGATCGAACTAAGTTAGTGATCACTTTGTGGTTGAACAAGACATATAAAGCCCGGAGGGGGAACTCCCATATAAAAAAGACGGGGTGCTCATCGGAAATTTTGAAAAGAACCCCTTAGAGGTACCAAGATCCTGTTTTGTGGGCGTGGCGTGAAATTTTTTCTCCCCTAAGAGGTACCAATTCTTACATAACCCATAATCTACTGTCATATTTTTTCGGTTCAATACCCTAAAAGGTACTGCAACAGCTCCGCTGTGGACCTTTCAAGGCCAAACACCCTAAGAGGTACCAAAATCTCTTTATTAACCCCTAAAAGGTACGACGAGCACCCCCGTCATATTTATTTGGGAGCCTCCCCCCCCTCCCCCCCATCCTCCCCCACGCCCGGGATATAGAGTTATCACTGTGAGTAACATGCAACTGAGACAATAAATTATTTGCCAAAGCCGAAAGGATTGGGAAGTAATCGATCTATAAATTACTGGCAAATCATTGGTATAAGAAACAACCAGGCTTACGCTTGTCAACGTGACCAACTAGGCCGATCTGTTTTAGTGGCGAGCTGGGAATGGATCAGCAAAATCGCTTTGGAAAAAATATAACCTCTTGAAAATTTGTTAAGGTATAAGTATCGATGAGTTTAATTTCAAAGCGTTTAAAAAATTGTAACTCGGGTTGTTAACATGTTCGCTAATAACCGAATATTTCATTAATTAAAAGCCGTATTCACTTACAGTGACTTATGCTCAGAATGGCTTACTTGTCCCGTTGAAGGTAAATTTGCAACGCCAATTTAATAATTTCATTTCGAAATGAATGCCTAAACACCTGAATGCATGCCTCGAAAAGTTCTTTATACATCGGCAAGGAACTTGAACGACGCTTCTGTGATTCGTGGCAGCATACCTGACTACTGGAAAAGAAAAAACACAAACACTATGAAGACCTCGTGCTGTGCTCACAGTGCCCTTTCCGGCTACGCAGTAAAAAAGCATCGAAGCTTGTCTTTATCATCAAAGGAGAACAGCCTATGAGTAGATTATTCGCAGAAACACTACACGCAACATCCAGGTACAAAGAGAAACACGATGTACAGGCAGTTATTTGCAGCTGCCTTAAATTGAAATATAATTTGTTTCATTTGTTCCGTTTTTTCTCTTTTTGCTTCAGGTGATCAAGTTCCTCCAGAATGGGCGGGTGGCCTGAACATAGTGTACAGGTTCGGACCAGGCTTCATAGATTCAGAGTTAAAAGTCAGACTTGAAGTCAACAACCAGTTCGTTACAAAACCTATATTTAACGTGATTGGAACGATTTTAGGAAAAGAGGAACCCGACCGCTTGGTGCTCATGGGTAACCACAGAGACGCGTGGGTCTTTGGCGGAGTGGACCCATCAAGCGGAACAGCGGTTATGATGGAAGCGTCCCGTGGTATCGGAGAACTGCTGACCAACACTGACTGGCGACCCAGGAGGACAATCGTATTTTGTAGTTGGGGCGCCGAGGAGTCTGGTCTTATTGGCTCTTACGAATGGGTGGAAGAAAATAGAAACATGCTCAGGGACCGTGCGGTGATGTATTTGAATGTTGATTCTGCCGTGAAAGGGAACTACAGTTTTGGGGCCAATGGGAATCCTGGCTTGAAGTCGCTTGTTTTTCAGGAATCCGCGTTCGTAAAGGATCCCAATGCGCATGACAAAGAGGCAAGTCTGTATGACCACTGGTCAATAAAAACTCCATCTTCCACAGAACCTGGGAAGCCTCACTTCGGCACTCTGGGTGCGGGATCCGATTATGTGCCATTCAGTCATTTTATCGGAGTACCAAGCATTGACATGAGTTACAGATTTAAGAGCATGAACAGAACCCTTTATCCTGTTTATCATACAGTACATGATACATTTTACTGGCAGAAGACCTTCAACGATCCACATTTTACCATTCACTTGTCAATGTCTCAAATCGGAGCCAGGATTGTTCTTGAGGCTGCTGACACTCCCATCCTGCCTTACAATCTGTTGGATTACAAAGAAGCCCTGGAACGTAACTTTGAAGCGCTGAAGAGCTTCTCAAAGTCACTACTTCTGCAAGGGAATGTGACCCTGGACCACTTGGCCAATCAAATAAAACAATTTTCAAGGAATGCAGACGCGTTCGAAAAGAGGAAGGCCGAGGCCCGCGATACCCAGGACTTTGCCAAACTACGCATCCTCAATGATCAGATGATGAACATGGAGCGCGCCTTCATTTGGCCGCTTGGACTACCGGGGAGGCAACTTCTTCGTCACGTGCTGTTTGCACCTCAGATGCACAATAACTATGGCAGTTCAAGCTTCCCCGGAATCACTGACGCATTGTTTGATATTGAGAAGACCAACGACTGGAAACTGGTCAAGGAGCAAGTGTCCATCGCTTTAACATGCGTGCGAGAGGCTGGCAAGATTTTGGCGTTAATGGACTAGTAGAGTATCGTATCACACAGGAATTACAGGTTTTGTATAGAGATTAAAACTGATCTAGTGGTACAATCCACCGAAAGAAAAAAACGACTATAATACCTTGCGAACCTAACACAGCCTATAAGACACAAAGAAAGCCAATTTTTTACAATATTTGTCCTTGTACTAAGTACATTGTGTAGCTTAGGTTTGAAGATTCTATAATTCTTGAGTACGTTTTTATGAACGTTGTTAAGGTTTTCGTAACTATGGGTAAATTTACCAGTCGCCATCTTTTTTCTTACGAGAGATTGAGTTACCTAGCTAACTAGCTTTTGGTTTGTACTGTAGCACAACCAAGTTGTTTCAAGTGACATTTCACTGAAAGTCATTTAGTGCGCCCATCTAGTGTTATAAATGTTCCAGCTTCTGTTTCCTGTGGATGCCTGTCAAGTATTCTCAAACTCTTTCATTTTCCCTTAAATAAACGGCCATTGCCCTTTTTTTCAGACGGCATAAATGATTTAGCTTACTAAAATTTTAAATATAGAAGCACTACAACACTTAGTGAAGAAAGGATGCCTGTCGATAAACGAGGTGTCTTAAGTTATCTGGTTACAAGGTACCATCAAGTTAATTTACGAAACTCACCATAGGCGTGTTCCAAAACTTTGCAAAATAGGACTTTAACGCTAGTTAAACGACGCGTTGATGTCCTTGATGTATCTTTACAAGACAACCTTCGATTTCGATTCCGTATGTGAGAGGACGACGATTAATAAATGCACGTTTATGACTTCAGAAAAGCGTAGTAGTAATAGAATGAGTAGTTTTCCGCACTGGCCATGGGCTCCTGCATAATTATCAATGAACCAATAGGCAGGGAGTTCTGGAATCATTTTCCGTATCATTAGTGAAAATCTTAGCCCAAAGACCTAGCCATTCAAATCATGTGTCTCGAGAATCACATTTTTCTTGTCCCAAGGCCTCGCCGACCGCCAGGGACAGGGGGCTCTGGGGACGAGAATGGATCATTTCCATGCACTTGTCTGTGCGAGACTTCCCTTACTGCTGGGCTAAGCATTTGCTCATTACTACGTTTTTCTTCGATGCCTCTGTAGCTTTTTCTGAATTGTTTTAATTTCAGATCGCTGTAGAAGAATTAGACTTGTAGGAGGGCCGAGTGCGTATTAAACCATACGGAGATATACCAGTGTCCAGAGGAACTGGAAATTAATGACAGATATGGAATAGATTGTCAAATTGGCAACCTGTGTTACGTGACGGGCAATAACCAAACAGAACAAAACTGAAAACTGAGAATGATCTTAGCTAATCAAACAAATGATACTACTCGATCTACTTTTCGGCCAAGATGACGTATTTTCAAGATATCAGTATTTTCGAACTCCCCGCCCTCGAGCTGCAATAGAGTAGTTTTTCCTAGTTTACATAACCTCATCTAAACATTTGGGGGATTGGGAGAATTCTCGAAAGTTCTACAAATCCTCGACTGCGTCTCTCGGGATTGCATAACTATCTCGAATTCTCCGAANTATGTAAACAGGAAAAAAGTTCTCTATTGCATAAGTTCAGAGACACTCAATGTGCCACTAGGTATAGTCTTTCATGCGGTCCATTAGAGCTCAACAGTGATTTCTTTGAAAAGGAAATTTAACTGTAACAGTGCAAATCTTTGCTTTACATTTCTTCCTTTGTCTCTCCTAGTCCGGAGATATTTAAGGTTAAAGAAACATTCCTGTTTGTCAGAAAAATTCTTAGAAAAGACGGAAGAATACACGTTGAGGAGCTCGTTTCACAGCACTTAGGTCAACAACCGCCACAAAAAAGAAGAAATGTGGAGTAAAAGTCAAGTGTCCATGCATGTTTTGAAAATAAATCGGGGATTTCAATCTGCCCGCCGGAATAAAATGCACTAATTCCAAAGTGTTGTTTCGCGTGACATGACCCCCAAGCTAATGTACGCCAAGGGAAAGCAGGTTTAATTTCGGTAATAACGTCACAAGGATGTCCCTCATCTTCCACATATGCCACGTCAATAAACAAGGGCCCTCAACGTTGTGTGAGGAAACTCACTCACTTCGACACTGTGTATAAATGAGTTTGCTAGTTGGACACTGGCTGAGGAGGGGGGGCACTGTTGCTGTTCGTAAGAACAAGCAACGTTGGCTTCACGCTCTATACCCCAGACGCTAAGGAACATCCTGTTTACGCCTACTATACTGAACTGGATCATTCTAAGAAAGGAAGGAAGAGAGTAACGGAACTGTTTTTAGTGATGATGACATTTGCGTTACCACCTACCAAAAGCCACAACAGAAACACAGCACCAAGATCGTATAGAGTGGAGTGCTTTATCACGTTGCCCTCCAAATCCCCTTCACGAGAGCGTAGCACAATAAAGCAAAAGAAGGGAGCTAGAGGGAAGCATAGTTTGTTTTGTAATCGATTAACCTTGCAGAGACTGGAGCGGCAAACATACTCAGTTGATAACACAACACAGCGCACATACATTACATGTATTCGACTTACGAAACAGACACAATTACATTTCTAAAACAGCGTACTCAAGGTTTTTGATATTATCTAGCTCGCTTTCTCATTTACATATAAGAGAAAACCTCTAAACCGACACGTATACCATGTACCACGACTACAGAATTCAAATATTTTGTTCAGTCTTTTCCTACTGCGAAAGCCGCAGAAGCTAGCTACCGTCATGACAAAGGGAGATAATTATTCGTGTCTTCACACTGAGGAGTGTGAGGAAACAGATTGATCGTGTTTCCCTGCTGTGCCCAGCTGCGCAACAATATTGACAACGAGGCTACGTCCAGCAGATTACATGGCTCGTTTCCCGGATGGTTTTGCCTGTAGAAGGCTGTGCTGTGGTGTTTCCAGACTCCATTTAAGTCGTACTTACAGCAGGCAGCGGTCCACATATATCTGGGTACATTCACCGGGTAATTAGCTGCGTGTTTGTAGTCACTGAACCCTTCCTTGCCAAAATAGCGTGTTTTCTGTTGGCCCAAGTTTGTCGACGGGATCGCGCCTACAATGATAAACATTTCAACATGCTGTGCTCCCTGTACAGCGCAGTAGTCTTGACCCCATCGAATGAGCTTCATCTCACTAGTTTTCCATGCACCCATATTGAAAAGTCCAAACTGAGGGACAGCGTTGGTGTAAGTGAACGTTGCTACCATTCTCGCACGGACCGCTCTTCCATCCTGCGACGCAATTAAGTGTCCCTTATGCATAGTTGTTTTGAGCCAAGCGGATCCTCTGGGACAAACCGTTCCGGGGTTAGAAATCGGCGGAGCGTTCGAATTTCCGCTCAGGCGCAACCATTCATCGTCAATAAAGTCATTCGTGTTTGTTTTGAAGCAAAGTTCTCGATTATTAGAGTTCTTGTAATCGACGTCTTTTTGTTGAAAGTAATTGTCAAGTTGGTTTCGTGGTTCAACTTTGCGAAACTTTGCTGGCGGTCGACCTATTGAGTCGTCGGATAACTGATCACCAGTTACCTTGGTGGCGGCATAGAGTGGAATTCTGCTATTGCAGTCATACAGAATAGCGACTGCACCGCGTTCACAGAGATACGCCAGGTTTCGAACTCCTTCGACAAGCCCAAACTGTTCTACGTTTTCTGGCAAGTAGCTATCCCAGTTAGCTCACGCGTTTCCGCTTTCGTCGCAAGTGTCCATAATGTTACACACACACGTATCAATGCCATTTTTACCAGTCGTACTACACGGGTGTTCTCCGATCACTTGTTGCAATAAATGTCCAACCACAACGAGGAGCAGTACATGTACACCAGCGGTAAATTTTCCCATGGCCTTGCAGGCTAGCTACGCGAATTAAATGAGCAGATTGAAAACGAAAACTCCAAAGGCTATTATGCTTTGTCCCAGTCCGCCCGTGCTCAAGTGAGGTTCGCCCAAGGACGTTGTAAGAACATAACCAGAGTTGTGTGATCTTAATATCTCACTGAACTTTCTTGTATCAAATTTTACTCCAGTCTTACGTAGACTGCTAGTAGTTTCTCCTTTCCTCGAAAATCCGTGGGGAAGAACGCGAAACAAAAGTGAGCGTGCAGCGTGACTGTGAACGTGACATGAATATGACACTCCGGTGTCTAATTTTGTTACGCGAATCGATCGAAGCTGTATCCGGTAATATAATTGCTTAAGGCGAAAAACTGAAATTCGTTTTCAACAGTCCATGCATGTTGTTCTTAACGATCTTGTGTCAGAAATATTTAGAGCGTGACAATTGTTTAGCGTTAAATTTGATACTCGTGATGATGTAAGCAATGACGTCAACCGTATTTCCTTAGCAATCTTTATCGAGAGTAAGGACTTTCTTTTGCATTTGTAATCAGTGAATGAGACATATTCGAGACATGGGGAGTGATTTAGCTGTGAACATCAAAATTTATTACAACGAGATCGAGAGTGACTAGTGTTGATATCCACGTTTCCAAGACTTATGAGGAGGACACATTCTCCTTAATTCCCATTATTCCCTTTCAGAGTATTCACAGGTAAAGAAATTCCAGTTTATCTAGCCGGCTGGTGAATGCGTTCTCTTCTTATGACATCTGGGAGAAAATCCTGTCACTACGTTTTCAAAGAACGTATTGGAAAATAAAATTCTACTCCCCTGCTGCTATTTTCAGTAAAGTCCAAGGCAGCTTTCACTTCTGATACCATATCAAAGCTTTTCCATTCTCCCTCGTCCAT